AAAAAAAAAAAAAAAAAAAGCACGGAGGTAGTGGTAGAAAATAATTCCGAGTGGGGGGAGGAAAAAAATGGCGGATTAAAATCCAAGATGGCGGCGCCGAGGGGCGAGCGGTGCAGGGGGGAGGCGATGGAGCGAGCCGCCGAGAGATCCCTCCGCCGGACCCCGCGAAAAAGAGTCCCCCGGGCTCCCTCGCAGGGACCCCGCGGGGCGGCGGTGAGGGCCGGCGGTGGCCGCCGCCGCTTTCTCCTCCTTCTCGTGTTTCTCTTTCTGTGTTGAAGGCCTCTTTCCGCCGGGCAGCCGAGCCGGGAGATCCGTCGCTCCAGCCACCGCGCTTCTAAGTTTCTTCCTCTCTCTCCCGTGAAGCCGCGACCTCCTCGCCCCCTCCGGAGAGGCGCCGCCTGCCCCTGCGCTGCCGGCGGCGGAGGGACACCGCGGCTCCAGCCTCTTGTGCCCGTTGCGCGGAAGGATACACCGCTCGAAAGAAAACCGAGCCCTCCTCCTCCTCCTTCCTCAAGCCGCGCCGCTCCCCACCTCCCCCTCACGCGGGCCGGCGCAGGGGCAGGCCGCGACTCAGCGAGCTTCCGCGCCTCGCCCGCGGCGGACGGACGGCTGGGACCGCAGCGCCCATGACCGCTGTGCGCGGCGCAGGGATTCCGTGGAGAAAACGAGGTCCGGGCCGCCCCGCCACTCGGCGGTGCACGGGGAGTAAGAAGCGCCGGCCGGCTGCGTGCTGCCGGGATCCCTCCGCCCAGGGCTGCCCTTTAAATGTGAGGCATCCCGTTGCAGGCGCTGCTCGTTCCGGCGCTTTAAGGGCGAGTGGTCTCGTGTCCGCCCCTCTACGGTATGCAGGTGTCCCTTTTCCAGCCCCAAACCGTATGTGCGGTCGTAGCCCTCCCGGCAGGGCCGCCACCTCAGTGAGCAGTAGGCACCTGCTTCTTCTTGTGCCCTGACAGGGCTCTTTAAAAATGGCGCCCAACCGCTCTCCTCAGGGAGATGCGCCGAGAGCGCCGCGGTACCGCCTGCGGACGGCGGGGCAGCAGGGGCTGCTCTCCCCGCCGGGCGGTGCTCCTGCGGGCGCTGACGGGGTGTGTTCCTGGGGCAGCGCCTCGGTGCGGTTGCTGGGGCACCCGCACGGCCGCGTTCTGCTCAAAGTTCACGAGTTTTACTGCACGCCCGATATTTTAAAGTTGCCCTTTGTGTCTCTTGACGCAGCGGTACGGTTTGTTCTCAGGCGTAAATTTTATTTTTATAAGTTTAGCAGAAGCTTTTAGAGTATTTGCATTCGCTATCAGTCACCGTGAACGTTTGTGGGAAGTATTGGCTGCAGAGAAAGTTCGGAGAGCCGCTTGCCAGCATTGTGGGTTCCTCTGTGATCATCAGAGGATCACAGAACGGTTTGGTTGGAGGGGACCTTACAACCCACCCAGGTCCCGCTCCGTGCTGTGGGCAGGGCTCATCCTCACCAGCTCGGGCTGCCCATCCAGCTCTGCCCTGAGCTCCTGCAGAGATGGCACATCCACAGCCCTCTGGGCAGCTGTTGCCAGAGCCTCACTGCCCTCTGAGTAAAGGATTTCCTCCTTACGTCTAACCTGAATCTCTTCTTTTAGCTTAAAGCCGTTCCCCCTTGTCCCATCAGCATTACACTGTGTAAAGTCAGTCCTCCTCCTGTTTATCAGCTCCCTTCGTGTACTGGAAGCCTTCTGGTGGTACTTAGTAGGAAACTATGTTTAAGGTTGTTAATAAAACACTCTTTTCACATGGAACTGGGTTTAATTTTACTTTAATTACCCAAGTGTTGCAGTTTCTAGAGAAGGCATGGATTCCAACAACACAAATTTTGAGCAAATGGATGTTACTGTAACAAGGCATTCCTCCTGAAGTTCAGCCTTGCCATGCCACGTTGTTAAACCAGATTAGCACAGTTTTTACATTTAATTTACAAACCCCAGAAAGCTTTACTTTGACCAGAATTCGTTATTAATAGGTCACCAGGCAGTGACACTGATAGTATTAGTGACAGCATTTGTATATTGTTTTATAGGTGCCTCAGCCTGTTCAGTGCCTGCATGGAGTGGGTGGGTGCTGCATAGCGTGGGATCAGGCGATGCCATCTCTGGTCCCAGTGGCATGAAGGGATCACTGCAGTTCGGCTGTGCATGGTGAGTGTGAATGGAGCTGAAGGAAGGGCAGCAAACTTCATTTACACCCTCCTGCAGGATCAAACTTGTGATCTGAAAGCAAAGCGGAGCAGACTGAAATGACTTTCTTTGAGAATATCTAAAACTTACTTCTGCTGCTGTTCTGGTGGCTTTTCAGTTTGGTTGCAGTCAGTTTTGTTATTTTTCCTACGTTCTAGCAGCTTCCTACTGTAGCTCTTTCATTCAATAACGCAAAACGTCTTTGAAAATCAGAAAGTCAGGTGGTCAAATCGTGATAGCATGCTTCAAAAATAAGTCTACTCTGTTAAACTATTTTGCCTGCCCATATTTTGTTCTGAAAACCAGCAGACACATGGTGACTGGCTCCAACTAGATGTCATCAGAAAGTTGTTGTATTTCGTACTGTAAAAACCCCATAGAGAATTTCAACATAACTTTCACTTCCTAAATTCGTGCTATCATTTAGGCTTAGTCCTCACAGGAATGCAAAGGGTCTCAGATCTGAAACTTTTATTGCTTCTTGGTTAATTATCAAAGAACAGGCATGATGGCATTATTTCTTACAGGAGTAAAAGTTTATTTCAGTCACATTACCCAGGATTTCAGTCACATGATGATTTTGTGACTTCCGCTGGATAATTTTTTTCCGATAATACAGGGCTGAAAGATGTAGAATGTATGCCAGATGAGTTTATTTCAGTGTGCATTGGCAGGAATCAGTAGTTTTTAATTCCTGAAGTAGTGTTCCTAAATTGTAGATAGTTGCACAATTTATAAATAACTACATTTACTCTTTGCTGAGTCTGTAGCTCTTTCCACCTTGAGGAGATTTGCATTTTCAACATCTCACATAGGCTGTGACCTTGTAACCATAATATTGCAAACGTTTTGAAAGCATCCAGTTTTCACTTAAAAATCGAGTTATTAAAATCTTTATGTGATGAGTGGTTTTGTAAATCCATATCTTTTAAGACAGGAAACTTGAACTTTGGATTTGAGTTAGGTGTGGAGACTGCTGCATTGCGCTCATGTAGGGCATCACACAGGTCCAAGCTCCTACCTTTTCAGAACCAGACCCTCAGTCCTTTCACCTCCATAAAGAACAACTGCATCAAATACTGTCCAGTGGTACAAAAGCCAAATTGAGTTTCCAGGAAAAGAAATGGCTTTTGCTGAACTAAAGGTGTGTTGTCCCTGTGTGACAGGAATGCTGTTGTTTATTCTTCTTTTATTTGCAGATCTGACTCGGAGACTGTAGTTACGAGCGATTTTGAGGAGTACAAACATGTAACTGAAAAGTCCATTGGCCACTTGACAGTTTAACTCAGCCACGTAGGCATTTGGGATTTTTTTTTTTTTTTTTTTTTTTTTTTTTTTTTTGCCTACTTTTGTTATGGAGGACTTTTGCATAGCCCCAGTGTAAGCATTTTCTGAAACAGGCATCTGGGTGTGTGTGTGCGCCACTAACAAAGCTGAGTTGTCATACATGTTTTGGCTCTCCCACAGACCTACCTGGCTAGGGGCACCTCATGCAGGGAAAGTTTTATAGCACTGAGAGGAGTATCTGGGAACAGAGCACACTGAATAACTCAGGGTGGTACTGCTCTGAGCCAGCCCTGAGCTGTTTGTTACTCACACACGCTCCAAGCTGATTCCCATGCATAGTTTGACCCCTCCCCCTCATTCTCCATTGCTCAGAAGCACTCAAGCACTGCCCAATTTCACTGCCCCAAAGCACTCCTATTTATTGTACAAGCCCTATGTTAAAATCTCCTGAAATCTCCAAGTTTTTCAAAGCATTAACAATAACCTCTTTTAAAAATAACACTATGTCTTGTAGCTGCTATGACTCCTGTTGCAGTTTTAAATTGCATATATACTATACCCAAACTCTGCTGATGGTAAGGGCACAGCGATGCCACCTCGTGAAGTAGAAACAGGAGGAAATAGAAGTGCAAGGAAGAGGCTGCAGTAAATCAGCAGGTGTAATAAGCTTGATTCTTCCTTTGAGATAATGTTTTACCTTCTGTTGACAGTAAGCAGATTTTTGATAGCTGTTATTTTTACTATTTGGAAGAAATGATGTTGTACAAAGTGTTAACAGGTTTCACATTGCAAAGGGCATAGCGAGCAGTGGATAAGCACTTTATATTGCACTGGACACACTAGGAGTTTGTTTCTTTTGTCTGCTGAGTAAGTACATGTCTTCTCTTCCACTTATATCCATCAGGAGCCTTAAGCACCCGATGCTGCACCTCCCGGAGGAGCCATGAGATACTTGTGCCACTGCCAACAACGCGTGATTGCTTTCAACTGGTGTCACAGATCAGTTTGTACCGGTGGTTACAAACTTGAAGTTAAACATCACAAATGCATGTGAAAATGAATGAAATTAAAGACCATTTTCTATCAAAATCTTCATAATTTATTAAAAAATATACATTTTCTCAGTAACAGATGGTCAATAATAGATGATAGATGGCCTCCTCTGTGTAAATTAATGGCTGTAATTCACTTGAGGGCTGCTGCTGATGTCATAAGCTGCCAGAGTGCAGCTTGAGTGATTTATTAACAGCTGCAGAAATCCTAGAGTGAATTACATCCTTGTATTCACTTAGGGTCTGCAGATTGTTATTTATAAGATATGGAGGTTTGTGTTTCTTCTGTATTATAGGAATCTTTTGTATGATTGTAATGCATGGGCATGGTGCAGGACTGACTAGTGTGGAAGTTCAGCTCCCTGTCTGCAGCAAAGGCAGTCAGGTTTTCTCTACTAACACTTATCAGCATCAACCCTTTATTTTTAGAAGAAGCTAATCAACATTGGCAGATGTGTTCATTTAAGTCCTGCTTTGTGGGTTTTTCCCCCCCCCTGATGTCAAATACAAATAATGTCCTTCTTTCCCAGGAACCCCTTGTTCACTCAGTGTTTGTAGTCACTGCCCCTCTTCACAATGAGCTATGTCCAAACCAAAAAAATAGTTGAGATGTTGATGCTAGAGAGGAGTAAGTGCGATCTCTATTAATATCTGGATGTGTAGGAAGAAGGCAACAGATCCAGAAGGCTAGCAAGGGTGTCTGGAAACCAAAATCTCTCACATACAAAGAAGAGATTGTCCCATCTCCTAATGCTACCTCTATGTAGGGAGAAAACCTTACCTTTCTTCCATGAAATTCCTGCTCAGTAAAAGAGAATGCTTTCTCTGTGGCAGGCCTTCAAATATATTTATCTTACACATCAGCCCACCTTAACATCTCAGACTCATTCTTCCCAGACTGAAATTCTCTCTGCAATGATCCATACTTCCCAGATTTATCTCATTCTTCTAAAATGTGAACATATGAAAGCAAATTAAATAATATTCATTTCTATAGCCTTCCCATTCTGCCAAAAAGTGGGAGTAGGTGTTATAAAATCCTGTTTCCCAAACAAGGGACGTGTTTCCAACAAGTAATGTAAGTCCTAAAGGAAGAATGAAGGGGAAATGAGAATAAATAATGAAGAGTTGCATGGCAGGAAGGAACAGTCAGAATTCATCTGCAAATACTGTTATTTTTTTGCTGAAGATGTAAAATTTCTCAACAGAATTTAACAGTGAGTGTTTAGATGCTAGTTAGATTCCAGTGGGAATATTTCCAGCTTTGTCTCTTCTCTCAGTTTTGTTTGCCTATGGTTAGATCTTGCTGGTCATTAGGAGAAGGCTGCATTTATTGTTGTCAGCAAGAAATACTGCTTTGCTACCAAACAACTGCTTTTTTACTTCTGCTTTCCTTCACCAGCCTCCGTCTATATGAGTGACCTGTCTCTAAGAGGTACAAATGATTTTTTTTTCCAGAGAAAACAATTTGAATAAAAACAGGCTCTAGAAATTATTCAGTGCCTTGAGGCAGAGTCCTTTGAAGCCATTATGAATTCACTAATTTCAGCAAGCCTATTATTGCTATTATAGCACCATGGACAAAGCCCAGTCACTTCGAGATCCCACTATGTTAGATATTGCATGAATGTACAGAATGGTATCAAGAAACAGGAAAAATGTCTTTTTTCTGCTTTCTGGAGTGGAATGCTGCCCTCCTGATTCTTTTGAAATTGCCTACAGATTTGTAGTAGTCAAACTTTGTATATCCAAAAGCTTGACTTTTCTTTCTTAGTTTTTAAATGTTTAGGAACTTCGTATGGGGCAGATGACCAACTGGACCATAGCCTGTCCATGATTTGCAACTTCCAGGTAATTTCTGAAACGGGCTCCTCCACTTCCTTTCAAATTGAATCTGAATCAGTTTCTTTCCTTTTCCTCTTCAAACTGAGGTTTGTTTGTTGATTTGTTGGATTTTGTTTGTTTGTTTTCTTTTACTTGTTCTGCATATCTGCTTGTTTACTTTGGACTCAGTTTACGTGAAGAATGCGGTGCAAAAATCTAAGAGCTTGTCAAGTAACAAACTTAAGTTGCACTGATCTGTCATCTTCATGCTTTATGGTGACAAGTTTTATTGTCTCCCTGTAGCTCCATTGTCATTCAGGGATTCATTATATTGTCAGGGATTTTCATTTTCTTTCATCATATGGACAAGGAAAGCTGTTAGTTCGGTATTGTTGCAGAACTCAACACCTTTCTGTAGTCTCCCTTTTATAGTTGGACTTTTCCTCCTTGTCCAGAAGGGCAAATGACTTTGTGATTCAAAGATTGAGGAGTCCCAGGTAATGATGTACATTATTTCTCCCTGTCTCTGTCTTATTTCTGTAAGTTCTGAGACAATTTGTTCCACAAACAGCAGTAAGAAGCCTAATGCTCTCAGTCCCTCAATTCCTATAAATGACAAAATGAAGGTAGTTGTCACATGAATGGCTACCAAGAGAAACAATGTGCTATTTACTACTTATAGAATTGTGGTAAATAGCAGTGGAGCAGGTTTGGCTATGCAGATCTCTTTGAATCAAGCAGACTGCACATGTAGTAAGACATGGGGGTGGGGGTGGAGTTTCAGGTATACATTACAGAATTAGAAATCCAAAAATTATGCTATCTGCAGTTCTGTCACTGAACAGTCTCCAGGTGTGTGAACAGCAAAGGCATGCTTAGTGTCAAGTGGGTGAATGTGAACAAACACTCTTTTACCTCTCAAGCTTTGTTACTGGTAAAGATGGTTTTTTGTTTGTTTGTTTCTTGTATATATATATGTACATCAAGTATAGGATCCTGGAAAATTTCTGGTGGGTACTGCTCAGAATGCAATAGAGCATTTTGATTGAGGTGTTATTTGTGTATATTGCTTGAAAGGTCTCTCTCACACCTGAAGAGTGTTTTTAAAATGATCCTGCTTATTTCACGTTTTTGTTTGTGAATTCTGAGGCACTGACAGTGTTCTGCTCATTATCTGACCATATAATCTAATGGTAATTATTTTCTGGACACAGCTTTTGGTTGTATTGGAGACAGATGCTGATATTCAGCTTTCTCCTTCTCACACCAGTCGGGTGAGCCTTTGGTTTTCTCCTGATGGGGGATATTTCTCAGGTGCACTTTTGTAATCCATGGGATGCTCACTCCTGTTAAGTTCTATCAGTATTAAAGACTTACTTCCCAGTAAGTGCTGGATTCACATGTGAATTGTGTTTCCAGTCTGGCATAAACCACGCAGGCACTTTAGCAAGAATGAATCCCATGAGAAGGATGTTAAATCAAGCATGATGCTGTTTTCCCAGTGGATACCTAAAGCTCGACTATTGTTTCCAGAGAGGTTGCTTTACCCAGGAATGGTGCAGTGAGGAGAAAAAATTGTGGGTATGTAATTTTAACTTCACTCACAGGGTGAGCATAAGAATTTTTCCTCTCCCTGTAAAAAGATTAAAAATTAGGAAAAAAAAAAAAAAAAAAAAAAAAGACGTTTCTTTTAAGCTGTTAAGAGATTAAAAAAAAAAAGTCACGTGAAATGCTGCAGCATTCCTGTCAAGCAAAATTTTTTGTGTTCATGACTTGCTCAGAAAGAAAGAAGGCTTTCCAGTACAAGACTACACATTTCAGAAGTGTAAAAGAGGTTAATTTGAAGGTAGGGGAAGTATGAGGAGTTAAATTCTGTCTTTGGCTGCTTCACTCATTTGTTATTGGGAAGAATAAAAAGTATGAGCTAAAGCAAGTTCGGACAAGATATGTCAACAAGTACAAGAGAGGAAAACAGCTTGAATTGAATATACACAGCTAAGGAAACCCTTTTTTTTCCCTTGCATCTATGTTAAGATGGAAGCTAGTACCTTCCAGAGGTAGCTTTGGGAGCACATTGGAAGGAAGACAGACAAAATGTCCTTTAAAAGCCAGGCAGTTTTTGTTGGGTATATATACAGTATCAGCTTATCAGTTACGTAGTCAAAATCACTTCGCTTTTTTTTTTTCGCTAAAGCTGTAAGATATACACAAACCATGGTGCTTCTCTGCTGAGGCAGTTGTCCGGGTTCTTTGCTGTATCACCCCTACAGTTCTGCAGATGAAAATGTCACACTATTCTCCAGGAAAAGGATTGCTGTTTTAGAGCACTTTCTAAGCTTCAGGAGGTTCTGGAAGGCCCAAGGCAAATTCAATCTGTAGAGATGGAATTTTCTGTAACTCTCCTATTTATTTTCCTGATCACCAATTCCAAGCTTAGGCTGACTGAGACAGGCTGTTGATCTACTCTTTCTGCAAGTATAGATCCTTATAAATTATCACAAAGGAGGCAGTAGCTGCTCTAGATGCTATGGAAAATTTTGATCTTTATTTCAGTTGGCTATTTTATTTGTCTAATATCTGGTAGAGTCTCTGGAATAGGTAACTCAGGCATTGCTTACTTCACATTGAAAGAAAAGTAGATCCCAGAAACATAGACCGATAGAATCATTTGGAAGGGAGCTTTAAGGGCCATCTGGTCCAATTCCCCTGCAATGAACAGGGACACCTACAGCTAGATCAGGTGCTCAGAGCGTCGTCCTGCCTGACCTTGAGTATGTCCAGTTCACTACTTCTGCCACCAGATCATTTGCTCATGTATGGTTTTCAGTTTTACAGTTACTTCATGTGCCTGTGATAAGAAAGTCTTATCTCAATGGAATGGAATGAAATTACAGCTTTGATAATGTTCTGTCCTTAAGTATGATAGAAAGTCTCACTGGACTCCAAAGAGCAATGCATTAAATTTGCCTCAGTTATTACTACTTCAGGAACTGCTGTAATTGACCAGCTTCCTTGTAACTGTAAAACACACTGAAATGTATTCTGTCTTCCTGCTTGCTCTCTGAGGAACTTTTTACAGGTATAGCACAATGCAACCCCAAATCTTCTTTGGTAGTGTTACTGGAAATTAGGTTTTTTTCACTCCTTTATGGGCTTTGTCCTGATGACTTGGTCCTTTCTGTGAAAAGTGCAAAGTGGCAGATATAAGAGGGGTGATTACAAATTGAGCCCCTGTGAGCATGGCTGATGCTGTTAATGACAAAAGGATGGGATCAGAGAGTCTCAGAAAGATGGATTTCAATGTGTTCAAGCAGTACCTCTCTGTTCTGACTCTGTGGAGTCCTCTTGGTCATGCTCAAAAGCTGTCTGCTTGCTTTTCTACTCAGTTGCAACCATTTCCTAACAACTTCCAGAGGAGGTATCAGGAAAGCACAAGATCTTTCTGTTGAAAATGCGACCTCAAGAGGTTAGGGAAAGGACCAGAATGACAAATTCCTCCATACAGTTCTAATTTTCTAATTAATCATCTAATTTATGCGAACCATTTCACTGACCATCTGACCATTGTGGTGCCATCTCTTATTTCATTCTCTCTCTCTCTCTCCCTTTTTCTTTCTCTCTCTCTCTCTCTCTCTTAACATCTATCCATGAAATAATGGCCTCTATCACATGAAAGTTGCCCCTGTGTACAGATGCTGCTCTAACAAAGTGTTGATAAAGAAAGTGCCTATGCTCAATGTCTGAGTGCAGATCTGGCTTGCCTGATTCAGGTGTCTGAGTCTTTAGCTGAAGGCCTGCCACTTAAATGCCAAAAACTCCAAGTTGCCTCTGAGGTGAGGTGGAGTGAAACAGGGAAACTTCCTCAGGAGGAAGTACTGTGTCCAGATACAGAGTCCTCAGTACAGGAGGGATGTGAACATGTTGAAGCATGAGCAGAGGAGGGCCCCAGAGGAATAGAACACCTGCCCTGTGATAACAAACTGAGGCTGTTCAATTTGGAGAAGGCTCCAGGGAGACCTGATAGTGGCCTTTCAGTATCTTAACAGGGGCTGGTAAGGTGAGGGACAGGCTCTTTAGCAGGGTAGGATAGGACAAGGGGAAATGGTTTCAAAGTAAAAGAGTGAAAAACATTGAATATAGATATAATACAAGTGCAAGGTTTTGCATTTGGGCCGGAAGAACCCCAGGCACCCGTACAGGCTGGGAGGAGTGGTCCTTGAGAGCAGCTCGGCAGAGAAGGACCTGGGGGTCCTGATGGACGAGAGACTGAACATGAGCCAGCAGTGCGCTCTGGCAGCTCGAAAGGCAAATGGGATCCTGGGCTCCATCAGGAGAGGGGTGGTCAGCAGGGACAGGGAGGTGATCGTCCCTCTCTACTCGGCTCTTGTGAGGCCCCATCTGGAGTACTGTGTCCAGGTGTGGAGCCCTCAGTACAAGAAAGACATTGAGATTTTGGAAGGGGTCCAGAGGAGGGCGACTAAGATGATCAGGGGGCTGGAGCACCTCCCCTATGAGGACAGGCTGAGGGAGTTGGGCTTGTTCAGCCTGGAGAAGAGAAGGCTGCGGGGTGACCTCATTGCAGCCTATCAATACCTGAAGGGAACCTACACCCACGAGGGGAGTAAACTCTTCAAAAGGGCTGACAACAGCAGGACTAGGGGAAATGGATCCAAGTTGAAGGAGGGAAGATTTAGGTTGGATGTTAGGGGGAAGTTCTATACAAGGAGAGTGGTTAGGCCCTGCAACGGGCTGCCCAGGGAGGTTGTGGATGCCCCGTCCTTGGACGTGTTCAAGGCCAGGTTGGACGGGGTCCTGGGCAACCTGATCTGAATGTGTGTGTTTGGTGGCCCTGCTAGGCAGGAGGGTTGGAACTACATGATCCTTGAGGTCCCTTCCAACCTGGATGATTCTGTGATTCTGTGATTCTGTGAT